CCATGGCAAATAAGGCTCCATATTATTAAAGGTATAGTCTTGGCAACTTCCCCTGGCTTCTCAATTGTTTACAGCTCTGATACTAAGAAGGCTGAAGGCTTTCAGCAAGAAAACTTTGTAGAAAATGCAGCTGTCCACCTTGGAACCCGGGCTAAAATGCAGTGGGACACTCAACATACATACTCCTTATTTTTGCATTGTGAAGAGTAGTGTACATGAAATCATCTTGGCCTCAAAAAATAAAAGGTATTTAATATTTATACATGCATATAATGTGTTTAAATCCAGTCCACCATCCCCTAATTCCTTTTTCTTTTTCTCCAGATCTTTCCCTATCCCACACCCACTTTTTCCTCTCAACTTCAACTTCTCTCTCTCTTCCTCTCCTCTGTCTCTGTCTCTGTCTCTCTCCTCTCCCAGCTTCCTTTCCTCTCTCCTCACCTGAAACCCACCAAGTCCATCACTTAGATTTTCCTGCACATGAATGGTTGTGGAATCATTTACTAGAGTGTGGGTAATAGTCTCTTGGGGCCTGCTACACTGGAGAAAATTAACTCTTGCTCTCTCATCAGCCAACAACTGCCAATAGCTTGCTCAGCTCAGGGTGGGACTTCAGAGCCCTCCCTCATCCACGCCAGAGTTTTGGCTGGCTTGATCTTGGGTGGGTCTTGTAAACACAGTACTAGCCTTTGTGAGTTCATGTGTGAAACTACGGCTGTCAGATCCAATAACGTTTTTTTTTTCCTTCAGAAATCTACTTTCTCGCTCTTGCTATCTTTCTTCCCCCTCTTTGGTGAGAAATGGAAACAACCTAGTTATTAAAAACAAGCAAATAAATAAATAAAATAAGAATTTAGACAGGACAATGATATGAAGCTTTATCTGCCCTTGAATGCAGAGACCCACCAGAGTCTGCTTCCCAGTGAAGGGATTAAAGGTATAAATATGTTTAATGCTGCCCAAACAAAAGATTCTGCTAATATTTCTCTCATTTATTCCCTGTGTCCATAAATGAAGGGAATGCTGAACTTTAACTAGAGATTAAGGAAAATAAAAATGCCAAAATTTAAGTTCATAGATGAGCCATGAATTCTATCTATAGATTCAATGACAAAAACACCAGGATTTCCAAACAAGAGGAGGCATCCTGACTTGTTCATATGCCCAGCCAAGGCTGCTTGGCACAATAGAAAGAACGGCTTGGCGTAAAGCAATCAGCAAGTGTACCATTGTGCCACAACCTTCATTTGTGTTTTCAGTTTGATGGGGGATGCTTTAGTGCTTGCTGGATGGTTTTGAAATGTGTGCACTGTTTATCAGGGAGCCTGAAACTGCTGATCATTTTGAGTCATTCATTCTTGCTCTCTCTAGCTTCTTCTACTAGATAATTGGGCTTCGCATGTGGCTGGAATTAAAATGTCTACTTTCAGCGGCTCTCTACCACTTCTGTGTGTTTTGGAGTAGACAACATTTAACCCTATCTCACCTATCTCAACCCTATCTAACCCTATCTCTAAACCCTCAATTCTCCTTAATCTGTCTTGTCTCCCTTTGTGAATGGTCCCCCCCTCCCCAAATTTTCTCATCGGCTTCATATTCTACCATTCAGGAAAACAGCCATTTCTTTCACATCAGACTTCAGGGTGTTTTTTTTCTTCATCTTTTTCTACCTTTGCAACCATGTCAAGTCCCAGTTTGCCTTCTTTTTCAAGTTCCTTATTATCTCTAACTGACATAATCCCCATGCTTCCAGTTGTTCAGGTTTTTCCAGGCTTTATTATTTTAATAAAAATACATAATATAAAACATATCTTAATCATTTAGAAGTGTATAGTTCAGCAAGGTAATGCAATAAATCAGAAACACTATGCTCAATAAACAATGTTTCTCTTTTTCTCCTCTGTTCAGTTGTTCAGGTTTTAATGAGTAACATTTACAGATTTTTTGGACACCTTGTATGTGTTAGGTTCTGGGGATTTGAACCTGGACCAGTGGAGCATGTTTCTTGCTTCATACATACACCACACACAGACACACACACACACACAGACACACACACACACACACAAATATGCACATACACATGCACACAGACATACAACACACAGATGAACACACATATGCACACACAACACATAAAAACAGAGATGTGTGCACACACACACAACCTAGGAAAACGATCTTGGACATGGGAATTTTGAGAATGATGTTCAGGATGACAGGGGAAGAACAGGACACCATGATGGAGACTGATCATAAGGAAATACCACTTATATACACAGGGAAGTCCACAGAGAAATGATGTTTAAATTGGAAATTAGGAGGTTAATTGAGGGATCACTCAGTGGCTGGTGTAGGAATTGACGCTTGGGGCTGCACTTGCTGTGTCGGAGTCCGGAGAGAAGGGAGAGAAGATGCAACTGTGGTAGAAAACCTCAGGCAAGGCATGTGAGTCCTGTGAAGCTGCACAGAGGCAGGCAGAGTGGAGAGGTGGCATCCTCATGTGGGTGGGGGGTGGCAGCAGCCTCAGGCCAGTGGGGAACCTCTAAGAAGGAAGTTCTCATTAGGCAAAACCCTCCAATAAAACAGTCTGGGAAAGGGTGAGAGCCCCTGTAAAGAGACCATTGGTGATGACTCTAGAGCCAGCTCAGAGACAGATGCTGTCTCTGCGGGGAAATCAGAGTCTGAGTGATCTGTTTCTCACTTATGCCTTTTTCTACTACATCTCTAATGATATAGCTTCTAAAATGCCTGCTGCATGCCTCATATTCCCATTTACTTAATTCCAACTTCCCACTTTTCTAGCCAGGAGTGTTTCGACCTCCACTACCCTCTTCTAGTCGTCGTAGAATTCCCCATGTCTCCCTGCAAGTCACACGCAATGTGCACTATCAGAGCTGGCCTCTGAAAACACATTTGGTTGCAGCCAAATGCATCGAAACTATGTCTAAACTCTTCCTTTCTGTTCCCAACCTCCATGGTATTGGCTCTAGGCATGTTTCCGGTCTCCTCCACCTTACAAGCTGCTATTACACACTCCTACCTTGCTTTGCTCCTTCGCTCCTTGGTTCGCATAGTAAGCATTTTCCTCAAGCCTGAGGAAATGTTTCCTTCATCTTCTGGTTCATTCTCCAAAGCTCCTGTGTCTCAGATTTGTGTCAGGCAGGTAGAGTTTTCCTCTCTACCCACATTCCGATCACTTCTCACTCATGTCTCTTCTAACACTGCAGTGTGATTCCTACTCGAGTCACTGTGTCTGGAACAGGCTTTCCACTAAATTGCAAGTTCCTGAGGGGCAAGAAGAACTTTCACAGTCACTTCTGTGTAACATGTTACGACGTGATTGTCTTTTCCTGTTAGGGAACCAACAAACATTAGTGAGTCTGTAGGTAGAAGCAGTGATTGCAGTCCGACACTGAGGATGTCTTGGGCCACACCCCCAAACTTTCGTCTAGCTCTGATATTCTAGATTCAGCCTTTATACAAGGCCATTTTTAGCAATACTTTAAAATTTTTTTTCTGATTCTGGCTAAAAGGGGTCTCAAAAAGAGTACCAGTTAATTTTATTAACAAATGCTAAGTTGTGTGGTGAAAGCTAAAAAAAAAAATTTTTTTTGATAATTATGTATTTAGTTCTGATTGTGTAACAAAGGTGTGTGTGCGTGCACATGCGTGTGCATAGTGTTAAGAACTCATGACCTCATGCATGATAAGTATATGATCTTCATTGAGCACCCATCTTCACTGTGCACCCATCTCTTGGCATTCAAGTCTGACTAAAACAGATCATTGTGATGGAAACATTATTTAACACATGATTTCTTGAAGCTGGAAATGTCCCCATTTACAGAAGAATATACATTTAGCAAACTCAAAACAAATTATCATCCTTTCATTAAGAATCCACGTGTCTGAAAAAAACAATTGATGAAAAGGGGGAACTGTCAATTTGAAGAAGAATGGGGAGGGATCGATGGGATGGCTTGATGGGAGGAAAGGGAAAGGAGAAATGTAGTAGTTGGAATGCAATCTCAAAAATAAACAACAGAAGAATCTATGTGTCATGTAAGTCTTAGCGGAAAACACAATCTGAAAATAGTGCAACGCCAAAGAGGTATGCCCACCGTAGACATGCTTCCACTATATTAAAACACAAAAGCAGAAAGATCAATAGGACGCTATTGATTTATCTAAACCGTGGTTGTTACCATCATTTACATATTCGTTTAGTTCTGTTTTTGTCTTTCTAGAACAGGGTTTTTCTGTGTAGCCCTGGCTGTTCTGGAACTCACTCTGTAGATGAGGCTAGCTTCGAAGTCACAGAGCTCCATCTGCCTCTGCTCCCAGGGCTGCAATGAAAGCGAGCCCCTCCACAACCCATCTACGCTAAATATTCTTTGTCTCTGACTTTAACGCAGCTCTAACCCAGGCAGTTTTGTAGCTTTTTCTTCTCAGTGTTGCTTTGCCCCTTGAAGCACTAATAGAGGTGTTAAGCCATAATAACCATATTCATTGAATTCCAGTATAGATCCAGCATTGTATTAGATACTGCAGATATGAAAAACCTCATTCATGCTCTCAAACAGCTTTCAGAAGTGTTATCTTGCAAAAAGAATTGGCTTGTTCCAGGGGAAACATTAGGAATATGTTTCTGGAGAAAATATCTTTACAGGAAGCACTGGTATATTTTCACTTTCAAGACTAATTTAAAGCTCAACATTAGTGGGGTGTCTTAGATTTTTCTGAAATACAAGTGAAAAATAACTGAAGAAAAACCACATAATTTTCAAACCAACTCAGATTGGGGTAGGAAATATGTAAGAGGCTTTGGTAGACAAATGGAAATTGCTAGAAAAAAATACATAAATAACTGGAAAACTTGAAGAGCACCCTTCCATGATTCTCTGTGTGTGTGTGTGTTAAGAAAAATTAATGGCTTTAAATTTGACTAGTTGTTACTTGTTTATCCGTTTATTTATTTATCTATTTTTATTTTTAAGAATCGCTCTTGTGGAAAACATTCCTGAAGGCCTTAACTACTCTGAAGATGCTCCATTTCACTTACCGCTTTTCCAAGGCTGGATGAACTTACTCAACATGGCCAAAAAGTCTGTTGACATAGTGTCTTCCCACTGGGACCTAAACCACACGCACCCATCAGCATGTCAGGTAAGCTGCATCTTCCATATCCATAGTGGGTTTCTGTGCATTTGGTACTTCATACTGTCCTGACGTTCAACAAGACTAGGCTAGCTCAGTTTCCAAATTCCACCTTCACCCATAATGCATGAACAGTTACGTGTCTATGCGTTCATGTAGCTGTGCCATCTTCAATCATCTGGCTACTACCAGCACCCCAGGTTTTTCCAGGGCAAAATCATGTTTCGCATTGTCTACAAAAGGTTCTCTGTACAGCATGACTTTCAAGATACCACCCACATCATAGCACCTTCCTACAGCATGGCCCAGAATTCTGCTGTGTGGAGTACGTGTGCTTACACATCTCTCTGCCTGCTGAGACATGTATCTGGTCAATTTGTGTTATACAACTCACCTTCGTGCCTCTGAAATAACTCTTTAAAACAATAAGGTCAAACTTCCCACGGATAGTTGCATATTTTTGGCTGTTTTTTTTTACGTAGATAACTTCTGAATTAAATACTCTAAAGTAAAAGTGAAAAGTGCCCTTGTAATTTGCAATGTCTTTTTCTATGTATTGATAAAACTATGATGGTTTGCCCTGAGCTCCTATCCGTGTGTATGACCATTAGCCTATATTTAAGTGTCCCATAAGGGTCTTGCATCAAATCAGTTTTCTTTCTTTGCATATACATCAAATTGACAAAGCTTATCAGCACTATTTATTGCTGTCTTGAAATCTGTTATTCATCCAATTATACCACTTTTACTATTTAAAAGTAATGGTCATCAGAAGGTAAACAAAAATAAACAAAACCACAGTGGTCATACTGAAGACTTCGAACAAATTTATTAAATGTATGTTGTGTTCAGCTTGTTCCTATTTCTACCATTTTAACATGTGTTTCAAGGTTTATTGTCACATAATGTATCTTCCTCAACTCAGGGACTGAAAAAACAAAGATCATTTGCTTACTTTGTGGTTTGGGGCAGGGTTTGGCAGACAGTAATCTATGTAGTGATTTGGGGATGGATTACATGAAGCCAGAGGCTCCAGTGTGAATGAAATACATTCAGTGTCTCAGTTGAGAGGGCTGAAATATGTGGGGTGGCTGGGTTTCTCGCTGGGTCTCTCTTAGAATTCTGTAAGTGGACTTGAGATGGACCACAAGCTCGAAGGCTTATTAACCTGGAATCTGGTGCTCCAGAGAGCTGCATCCACCATATTTCATTGGCTTAAACAAGTCACATACAAGATGAGAGAAGATACATCCACAAACTGAGTGGACCCGTTGGAAATGATATGCCACAGACCAGTTTCTGACCACAGCAATTCATTCTCTTCCACATGTAAAATACAATCAGTGTACCCCTCAAAATGGAAGTGAGCCCACGGCATGAAAGCCTCTATGCTCTAGATCTACCTCTGGGATTTCCTTGCCTTGGAAACGTGGGTTTAAAAGACTGTTTGTATGCCCTAATGGCACTCCAAACACTCAGTGTCGAGACAGGGAAGAGATGACCATGGGCAGGCTACCCCCACACCCCCAGCCCTAATTTCTTCTCTATTTATGAAACCATCTTTTATTTAATGGATAATAGTCAAACATGACAGTTATTTCTAGACTAACAGAGCTCTCAAAGTGCTCAAGGGAACCATAAACAGCAGGGAGATAAATAGGAAGCACAACCCAAAGCACCTATTTATTACAATTCAGATGTGAGCAAAATACACCAAGAGACTATGGACTGTGGCAGGCAAGCCCCGCTCAGCAGACAGACACAAATAAGCGTGCTCCCTGGGATCAGTGTCTCCTTTAGATGAGAGGTGAGTCTGTAAGAATGTGTGACGGCTGTTATGAGCAGGAATGATGAATGTTGCATGGAAATTGACATTGCTTAAAAATGTATTCTATATCTGACTCCAAAAGTGTTGCATGTATGTGAGTGTGTGTGCGTGTGTTGCTGAACATGTATATGTTTGCTTGCCTGGAAAAAGCCAGAGGTCAACTTCAGGTATCATTCCTTAGAAACTGTACAGTTTGTTTACTGAGACAGGGTCTCTGACTGGGTCACCCCAGTGATGATTTAGGCTGGACTGCTGGGCGGGTGAGGCCCAGGAGTTTCCCTTTGTCTGCTTCCACAGCAATGAGATTACAATGATGTTTCGCCATGCCCAGCTTCATCTTTGCACCAAATGACCCACTGAGCTGTCTCCAAGCTCCAGGAATGCTGTTTTGATTCACACTCTAAAAACCCATTCTGTACTCCCTGCTTCTCTCTGGGGTCGTTAGCCTTTGTGCCTGTTTCCTTCTGTGCCCAGCTGAGGGCGAGTGGTGCCCATAGTTCCATGGCAGCCATACCTTACAACTAACAAAAACGCTTGGTCAGAAAAAGACATTTTATTTCTTTCTGCCAGGATAATGACTTTAGCTAATTCAGTATTAAAATTTACAGGGCATTTTGATTGCTAATTTATGAGATTAAAATGATAGGATTTTATGAAACAAAAATTTGGGGGAAAGCCAGGAAATGTGGCTGCTGGAGGTTTATCAGGAGAGCTACCTAACCCTTGTGGGAGAGTACCCATTTATTCTGACTTCACTGTGAGGCACCGAATGAAATAATCAATGAGCTGAAACAATGGGATGTTGAAGAGATGCATTTATGTGAAATCAATTAGATGCTGGCCTCCCAGAGAGCTCCCAGTTGGAGTGATTGCCAACGGATGACACATACATTGAAATTGTTTGATTTTGGAATTTCTGCATTGTTTTTAAATTACCCAGGATTTGGTGAAGTTAATGAGGAGTAAGAGAGCGCAATGATCCAGAAGGTCATTTGCAAAGTGCAGTTCGGATCCTCTCTCACATGTTAAGTGCTTAGCAGATTTCAGAGAGCCTGTAGGATCTGCCTACTTGGCAGCTGTGTGACCTCAACCAGGACCCAGGACTGTCTGCGGTTCCTTTTCCTCAGCATCAAAGCCAGGGCAGCAGCAGATACTGTGGATTAAGTTAAAGCCCATGTGTATGCTTATTCCTACCATATATATCATCATATATATTCATCTGTCTGTGCAAACACCACAATTCCCATTCCAGTCAGTTTAATACTGTTGCTCACTGTGATGGAAAGTGGGGGATTACCTGTAAATGCACTGAAATTTTTTCAACAGTGAGAGCCTAGGTAGGAAAGGATTAGATAAACTATCATAATGTGGGCGAATTCTGACCTTTATTTTATTTATTTGTTATGAATTTTTATACATGTGCAGAGAGACAGAGAGAGAGAGAGGAGAGAGAGATTGCAGACACAGTCTTTCTCTCACCCATCTGCTCATTAGGCTTTGATGAACTCACTCATTGAAGAGCATCTTCCCTATTCCTACTGTTCAAGAGTCAGGGTCCACGTCAGCTTTGGTAAAGATATGTAACATGAGCCTCCGACAACATCCCAAAAGCCCATTGGTGAGGGTTCCGCAGACCATTCTGTTGGTTCATCAGTCACTACCTGGTACAGTGTCTATCTGGTAATAATACCTTTTGACATATTAGATCTTGGAAAAGCGCCATTTTGTTAGAGAATACTCACCAACCCCAGTCTATATTTGCTGAGATTAAAATCAAAACAAGCCAACTTGGCACATGCCTATAATCCCAGTGTGCAGGAAGATGGAGGACTTGAGGACCTTCCATGCTACACGGCACAGGTAGGGTGTGCCCTGATGTCCTGACTCACTCAGCTCCACCAGTGGTGGACTCCTGTCTGCAGGGTCTACCCAGCAGCCCAGTCATTCCTTTCTTGCAGTAGCACTGTCTCAGCTTACTCTTGCTATGGCTTAGCCAACGGCCAAGGGTCTTCACTTCCTCTAACTTGTAAAGCTCTTCCTTTTTCCTTGCCATGCTTGTTTCATAAACACCCTACCCTTTGTTCGTAGGTGATGACAACATTTTGTGTTGTTAATTACTTCTCATATTGGCCCATAATGCCCTCATCTAGTGGCATCATCTGTGGGTCTGTGGACACCAGTATCCCTAGTTCCCTGTCTCCATCTCCTCCATTCTCCATCATCAGTGACTCTCCAAATCCCTCTCCCTTCTATGTCTGTCCCTACTGCCCTCAGAGGCCTCCATCCCTTCTTCAAGTCTTGCAGCTTGAAGACTTGTGATGTCTGTTCACTCCTCACATCCATGGTCAGAATCCAATTTGTAATTTGTAATAAAGAACCTGTTTGTATTCTCAACTTCCGTGAGGTTGCCTTTTTTTAGGTTCCACTCCTGAGGGAGATCATCAGTGTCCTTATTTCTGTGCCTGAACACAGTGCCCTTCAGGTCTCCCTACGTCAACAAGGTGACAGAGTCTCAACCACTGAGGACCATTAGAAAGAGGTGGAACCTTTGAGACATGGGGGCCTTGTCCTTAGGTCACTGACAGTGTGCCCCCAGGTCTTAAAGAGGATTGTGGGATACTGATTTTTTCCTTCACATATGCATACATGTGTGAAGTAATTATCAGCTCAGAGCAATTAGCATATCCATTTTTCTGTCATTTTCTGATGGCAAATATATCCAAATTCTTCTAGCTATAGTGAGGTATATAAAGCACTAGTGTTAATTATATTCACCCTGTGAGACCCAGAACAGTAACACTCATTCCTCTCGCCAAACAACGGGATCGTACCTATTCATCTCACTGGTCTCCTTGCCCCTACTTCACCAACCCTATTCTCCCTCCAGTCTCTGGTAACCACTGTTTGTATTCTCAACTTCCATGAGATTGGCTTTTTTTTTTAGGTTCCACTTATGTGGGAGACCCTCAGTGTCCTTATTTCTGTGTCTGAACACATGCCCTTCAGGTCTACCTATGTTGACATGATAAAAGAGTCTCAACCACTGAGGACCATTAGAAAGAGGTGGAACCTTTGAGGTATGGGGGCCTTGACCTTAGGTCACCGGCAGTCTGCCCCCGGCTATTAAAGAAGTTCATATAGTGAGTAGCTTCTTAAGAGGTTCTCATTCTGAGGTGCTGGC